GCGGCACTGCCCCGTGGCAGCGGGGCGCTGATCCCCGCCCGGCCCAGTCACCGCGGCGGTGCCCACGCCGAGCTCGCGCGTGTCCTCCCCGCAGGAAGCTGTCAGCTGCTCGTCCACCTGCCCGCTGCCACCGGCCGGCCGGGCCGGCACCGCCGCATCGCTGCTTTAATGAAGTGCCGTTTTAATGCACAATAAAACCTCGTGCGAGAGAGGAGCCGGGAGATCCCCCCTCTCCAGCTCCATGACTAGCGTCGGAATTAAGCTACTTAGCGGGGCTAATACGGTATCAGCCTAAATGCCCCTATAAAGACTTTATGAGTTTGTTACTTTAATTGCTGACTTGTTACAGAGCACATAAAGGGGGTAATGAATGTAATAAAGCTAATTATCCGCGCGTTTAAATCGTATGAAATAGCCAGTGTTTGTTTACACAACTGTGCGATCCGACGAAGCGTTTCCTCCTCTGCCCACCGAGAGGAAAGATTTAATGAAATGTAGCTAACGAAATGAAAATTACCTCATTGGCAGGAAAGCTCCACAAATAAACACATCGATTCCTTGCTCCTCTCAGCCAGCGCCAGCAGAAACCCCCCGTTTTGGGGGGTCTCGGGGTTTCGCTACTTAAAGGACGCAGCTATAAATACAGCACCAAGGTGCAAGCCTTCCTCGCCAGCTCCAGACTTTGGGCACGGGTTAAACTGTTTGGGGGGAGGAAAAAAAGAGATATTTGGAAAATCTTTCCTCCCCGCCCAACATGTTAGCGTCTTTTCTGTTGCCAGCCAGCAAAAAGCGGGGGGGGAAAGATGGAAAACTGAAAGTGCTTCATAGCCCGCACACATTTCAGACCCCAAATACTGTTCATAATAACAATAATAATAGTAGTAGTGGTAATATATGCCTTGCAATGTGGGCGAACAAATAAAACCCAGGTGACAGAGCCCAGTGAATGCATCCATTTAGAATCCAGATGTTCTGCATTCAAGGATTTTATTCGTTTTGTTCTCAAGGATCCCAGCGATACCGTGTCAGCCCTGACACCCGCGGAAAAATCAACACAGCCCCTGCGATGAGAAATGCGATTTATAGGTTTCTCCCTTCCCCCCCCCCCGGACCAGGTGGATTTTAGAGAAATACACTCCTTCTTCACATACAAACCCCCACTGGCCCACTTACTCTATTTTACAGGGTGCCTGAGTCCTGCCAATGTCCCAGTCCTTTATAGCATTTCATGCACTTCAGGGGGTAGACTTGTTAAATTGAGCGTGTAACGCTCTTACAAAACAGGTTTCTCTATGACATCAAGGTTTCTCTCTCTAACCAAGCACAGGGAAAAAAAATCAAGCGAGGGGTGGG